AATCCTTCTTACAGATGCTACAAACCACTTAGAGCCTATAGTGAGATAAGAGGGCTAGGGAGGGAAACTCTAGTGCACTGCTTCTCAGAATATAGTCTACCCAGGGGCTGGCTGTGCACCAGTTGTTTATCACTGGTCCATGGTGAGAGATGGGATTTGCTTCAGCATGTAATTGTTGCATGTAAATAAGCTTGCTATTTACTTGAGCTGACTTTAACAAATCTTAGCAAGACATTGCATTGCTTTGCATTGCTTAACATCCTGATTTTGCAAACTCCTTTTTCTTTTTTTTGTTGCAGATCATATTTAGTATCATTGACATCGAGAACATTTAAACTTTAGGTAGAGGGAAGTGGTAGTCAAAGAGACAGAAGGTACAGTGTGAGTGGTAGAGTGAAGAACAGAAGAATGGGAAGTCCAGTTATTCTAATGGGTTCATGGTTTAAATGAGCAGGTGGCCAGCACAGCCACAGAGAGGTCAGATAAGATTGAAGACTAAAAGTTACTGGATTTGGCCATTTAAGGGCAACAAGAAAGGTTTAAGAAGCTTGCCCCCTGCTTGCTCTCTTAATTTCTTCTCTCTCATCTTTATCCACCAATCTACCTTCTAAATACTTTTCAAAACTATACTTTCACCATATATACCAAAAACCTCTTTGGCTCTAAAATACTTTTGAATTCAGTCTTCCTTTTTCCTTATCTCTTGGGTGATCTGAAGTTACTGATCCCTCTTTCCTTCCTATCATATTCCTTCATCTATAATGCACTGACCTTGGTATTCCTTTTCACACCCCACCCACCGTTCTGTGCCCATTTCTTCTACACACACTGCATGTTTTTAATGACATCCATTTGTTCCACTACGTGTGTGCATGCTAAGTTTCTTCAGTCATATCCAACTCTTTGAGACCATATTGACCATCGATAGCCCTCCAGGCTCCTCTGTTCATGGGATTCTCCAGGCAAGAATATTGGAGTGGATTGCCATGTCCTCCTCGAGGGGATCTTCCTGACCCAGGGATTGAACTAGCATCTCTTATGTATTTTATGTCTTCTGCATTGGCAGGAGGATTCTTTGCCTCTCAACCACTACATGTGGTGTCAATTTCCAAATCTAAACTCAACCCACCTTTCTTTTCTGAGCTTCGGAGCCATCAGCCTATCAGACATCTTACTCAAACGCCACAGACTCTTCAATATGTCCAAAGCTGGACCCAAATTGTCACCTACATTTTTCTCTCCATCCCTCCTTCCTAAGCCCCATGCTCATACTGCAATCTGCCTAGCTGCCAACCACTAGTGTGAGCATCATCCTCATCCCCTTTTTTATCCCATTAGTGATTGATTTCACTACCAAATACCTCTCTGAATCTGTAACTCTCCCTTATCCCCCTCTCCCTTATCCCCGCTCCCTGCATCTGGGCCATCAGCATCCATCACCTTGATGACTGAGTTATCCTCTTGTGAGGATCTCTCTCCCTTTCTCAGTCTTCTTTTATCTCCAGGACCCTCACTACACTAGAGCTAGAGTCATTGATCTAAAAAAAAATCGAAGTTTGATGACATCACCTCCTTGTTGAATTCTTTGCCTGCCACTCCAGTCTTATCTCTGTGTTCTGTAGAGTCAGGTCACATTGATTGTTTTTCAGTTCTCCAGTATGTTCTCTCTCTCTCTGTTTTAAATAGTTTTATTTATGACTATGCTGGATTCACTATGCTTCCTCGCTGTTCAGGCTTTTCTCTCGTTGTGGAGAGTGGGGGCTACTCTAGTTGCAGTGTGTGTGCCTCTCATCATGGTGGCTTCTCTTTTTGCGGAACACAGGCTCGAGAGCTCATGGGCTCAGTAGTTTTAGCACATGAACTTAGTCGTTGTGGCTCCTGGGCTCTGGAGCACAGATTCAACAGTTGTGGTACGTGGGCTTAGTTGCCCCATAGCATGTGGGATCTTCCCAGACCAGGGATGGAACCCATGTCTCCTGCATTGGCAAGCGGGTTCTCAACTACTGGACCACCAGGGAAGTCCCAACATGCTCTCTGTCTCTGCACCTTCAAACATGATCTGTGACTGTTTGGAGCTATTATATACCCTGTTCATTGGCAAATTTGACTTCCATCATCAGAAAACTTCTGTAACCCTGCATATCTGAATTACATGGAGTTCCTCTGTGGTCACCCAGCAGTCTACTTTTCCCATTTCATTACCTTTTCCATATTGTTCGGTAATCTCTCATTTTTATTCATGAGTGCCCTCCTCTGAATGTTAAGCTCCAAGAAGGCAGGAATCATACCTGGTTGGTACAACATTATACTTGAAGCTCCTAGTACAGTGCTTGAAGGGTGTGAACATTCAGTCAATGTTGGTTAAATGAAATGAATGCTCTTCTGAATGTTTCCACATCCATTATCTCAGTGGGGGTAAAGTGGAACAATTTAGAGAGGATTTTAATGAAACATAAGATGGTGGATTAGAAGATTAAATTATTTGTTGAGTTGTTTTGCCCCAGTAGGAGGAAGGAGAACTGAGAGACAGGAAAGCTGGTTAGGAGAGTAGAAGCATTTCATACTGCCTTGTAAAACAAAGAGGAAGAATTAAAAAAAAAATAGCTTGCATTATTCAGATTTCATATTCCTTCTAATAAGTTGAGGCCTATAAGGAGGGGTATGTGTGTGTGTGTGTTTTAATATTTTAAAACGTCAGATTTTTCATCTCTTAGGGTTTATTTTCTTCACCTGGAAAAACTACAAAACATGATGTAAAAATGTTTTTGTAAACTTTGATCTTTCAGTTTGTTTTCTTTGGAGGGAGGTTTATAGAAGTAAGTAATTGATTTCATTCTAGCTTTTCTATTTTCAAACAAATTGAGACAACATGTATTTTTAAAGATTTAACTGAGTTTTTAAAAAAAGGATGAAGAAGTAAACACCAAGAAGTAAAGGAATAGGCAGTCAATTGGAGGAAATCTGGGTTCAGAAAACCTAGGTAAGAGAAATTACTTTGAGGACAAAATGATCTCTTTTTGGAAGCCGAGGTGTAAAACACATGGTAAGACACATTATTCGGTGTCTTCAGCTGCTTCACAGAGATCAACTTCCAGAGCTAGAGAGCTCATTGCCATCTAAGATAGACTTTACGACAAGTGCTTGACATCCAGGGCAAATTAGATGTCAACTACGCCAGAGACAAAGTAAGTATGCCATCTTGAAACTATTAAAAGAGATTGGTGTGTGTTCTGTATAGGGTAGTGGCTATTCAGTTTCTGTATGGAGATGTAGATTGAAGAATATTTAAAGAAAAAAGAGATCAAGATGTGTTCTTTAAAACACAACTTTGTATCTAATGAACTCTGTAAAAAATAAATTTGTGCATAGTTCCTAATTCTCTCTAAAACATGGAAGAGAAAAGCTTGGTTTGGAACATCTTGAAAATTTGCCACAAACATCTACCTCTGCAGGAAAAGAATCTAATATAGATTTTAGAGAATACTTATCATTGACCATGCAGCACTGTATTCTAACAGTTCTACCAGATGAGTTAGCTCAGAAATACATCTTGATTAACATAAATTGAGCATTGAGTGGCATTGTTTTGGATTTTCTGGCTGTAATTAACCTAGTAGCTTTGTTAAGTCCTCATGGTGGTTTCTGGGTGCAAGAATCACATGACCAGTTTATATGAGGAAGTTTGCCATCTGGTTCGCTGTGCCAGAGGACATGCAGAAGCTACATCTAAAAGCGATAGGAACCAATTAGGTTTTAAGGTGAAACAAGAGACATCAAGCTATCTCTTGTGATTTAGAAATGAAATTTAATCTGTCAAAGTCCATTCCTATCTACCCTGACTCTTAAGGCTTTGCAGAAGCGCTTCAACTTGGAGGTTATACTGAGACCATGCTGCAGTTTGACTCATGGAAGGTCCTGGAAGAGTCAGTGGTACAACTGTACCGTGGTTCAACTGGTAGACTAACTGGTACAATAACTTAGTACCAGTTAACAATGACTGCCAGGTCTCTAGCTGTTCTCTACGGTTTCCTGTTTGGTGAGATGTAGTGCTGTTGTCTCTGTGAAAATAATATTCCTCATATTAGACTGGGAGATTTCAAGCCATATCTAGTAGAGTGATCTGGCAAAGAGGTTTGGGGGCAGTCAGCACACCTGTACACCTCCGTGAAGTTTGTGTGGGTAGAGATGTCTGCTGGGTGAACTGGATGGACTATGAAGAGAACGTACCTAGGGATAAGAGTAGACGTCTTTTTTCTGGAAACAGTCTCCTCCCAGCTCCACAACCACTGTCCAGCTCTTCCTCTGAGCATGCTGCGGATTGTTTTTAATTTTGTGGCTTCTGTGCGATTGTTTCCATGGTTTCTCTGAGTTTCCCGGATGAGTGACTTTAATGTGCTGCCTGGTTTGGGATATTTGGTCCAAAGAGACTAAGACACAGAAAGAGCCTGTGACAAATACCATGCAGAGTATGGCGCTGCTTATACATCAGCTCTCCTCATCTTGCCCACCCCCTTGTTCTCACATAAAATGAGGGAGAAAATGGAGAATTTAAATTTTCAAAGAAAAATCCATCTGACTCTGTTTTCCCTGGCCCAGGGGTTTTCCTTTCATTCCTTTCCATGAACCAGAAGCCTTTCTGCCGTTGGAAGAGCCCCTATAAGGCAGTTGTGTGGACCTCTCAGTATGGCCAGGGGCCATTTGTGGGATGAGAGAGAAGGTGGACCTGGAGATGGGGGTGCATTGTTTCATTACAGAGACTCACAAAGGCAGTCTCTCCAACTTCATACAACCTGTTGTCTCCCACCTTCCATTAAATTTTAAGTATTTCTAATCACACACTTTTTCAACTTCCTCTTAAATTATTTACCAATGCCAGTAAAAGATAATGGAGAATTTGAGCAGAGCTTTACTCTTCCGACTTCCCTGTGAATTAAAACAGGGTTAATCTTGACACTGTAGTGATACAACAAGAGATGAGAATCCTTCCTGTATTTCCACAGAGTACGGTACAATCCACAGCCCGTCAACACCTATTAAAGATTCAGATTCTGATCGATTGCGTCGAGGTTCAGATGGGAAGTCACGTGGACGGGGCCGAAGAAACAATAACCCTTCTCCTCCTCCGGATTCTGATCTTGAGGTATGTTATTGCCAACACCTAAGTAAATAGCAAATGATATAGAAGCTAAATGCTGATTTTGTATACCTGCTGTGAGCAAGGTGTCCAAATGCTTTTGTTACTGCTTTCTGTTCCATATCAACATAAATAAGCCACTTTTTTTTTCTTTTTTCCATATTAAAGGTAAAGCAACTATTTATTTCTGCTTTCTCTTCCACTTCATGTGGCAAAGCATTTATTTTTCCTCTTTAGTGAAACATCATAAATTATATCATTCTGCTTTAACAAAATTCTCTTGTACTGCTCTGTGTCATTGCCGTTAAATTAAGTGTTGTACTAAATGTGCTTCATAGAACTCACTTGGAAATTAAAGGCACACTGTGTATATTGGGGGGGGGGGAACCAGAATGTTCTAAACAGAAGTGGTTTTCACCTTTTAAGACATGCTTTGGTGGAGTTCAAAGCAGGAGAGATTAAATAAAACTTTACAGGGTGATAGATTTTGTAACGTTGAATCCACTGATACTAACTTTCTTTTCATTGCCCAAGTGAACTGATGGTAGAAAATGTGATTCTTTTGGCCGAAAAGATGACAGATTACCAGCAGAACTTATGTGTGTGAATATGTGCTGATGTGAGTGGGGTTGGGAAGAAAAAAGCAAAATATGGAAGCCTTTGGTGATATCTCAAAGATCTTTTTGAAATGAGTTCCTCCAATAATTCAATTCTAAAAACCCCAAGAGTATGCCAAGAGCATGCGGGCTACGTCTACTTAAGTTATTAACTCTGAAATCTCAATAAAATCAGGCAGGAACAATATACCATCCACTTGATAACATCCCAATACGTAACACAAGGTGAAAGATGATGTAAAGTTTTAGTTTTTATATGCAATTGTTAGATACTTGGCTTATTAAGAATAAACCATAAGATTCGTTATTTTAACACTTCTTAATCCACAGTGATCAGAGGCAAAGAAAAAATCAACTGAATGATTTTTCATTGATTGCCCCTCTGTCTAAGAAGTTATAAACAGACTGTTTTAGCTTATTTTCCATGTCTTTAGAACTGAGAAGTGACTACAGAAGTAGAAAGAACATGTGGTCTTATTTCTTTCCTGTATTTTTGACAGTGTTGCTGATATGTTTATCCTCTTATATCTTATCTGAGGTTTTAGCTGAGAAAAGCTAGGACATACACTTTGGAACATTTGTGTTTAAAAAATAATAAATTCAGATTTTTCATCTGTCTCCCATTTCAAAACTCCTTTCCATGTTGAACTTGTGAATAGCAGGTTTCTCAGCCAAGGGCAAGACACACTGATTTGGTGCTTCCTTTCTAGAGGGTGTTCATCTGGGACTTGGACGAGACAATCATTGTTTTCCATTCCTTGCTCACTGGGTCCTATGCCAACAGATATGGGAGGGTGAGTACCAAGAGGCATCATTTGTTCATTTCTTTAGACTAAATCTGCCTAGAATTGGATTTTTTTATCCAAATGGGAATGTGGTTTAACTTTAAATAATATATTTGAAATACAAAAATGAAAGTAACTTGATTTATTGAAATAAATATATATATATATAAGACAAAGCCATAAATGAACAGAAGAAGTTCTTTTAGGCTCTTAAGAAGATAAAGATCTCTCATAAAGATAAACTTTATGCAATTAAATTCATTCTTATTTCAGACCCCAATGAATAAAGGTGATCAGGTGAAATATATTCTAGGGTGAAATAGTAGAAAACATAGATGATATTGAAGGATCTTTTGTGTTGTGTTTTTTTTATTTACCACATATTTTTATTCTCTTTATTCCCAACATATTCAGGGGAGCGGATAGTTCACTATATTGTCTTCCATGATTAGCAGTGTTAGTATTTTATTTTCAAAGCACTTATTATGAATGTCTTTATTAGTCCCTTTGCTGTGGAGCCAAAAATATGTGAATAGTTTGTAAAAATTTGGCCTCTGAATGACAAAGGACCAATATGTCCAATTCTTAGTTGTTACAACACTTATCTTGGTGGTGTAGGTACAGAATAATTTTACAGATCACCTTCCATGAATATAATTTTAATTTCAATGTTCTGCATTTGGGTTTCCCAAAACCTTGGAAATTCTTTTTGTTTCCTTGCTGGTTCCATAACTTTTTCTCATGCAAAAATCATGTTATTTAAAAGTGTTTTAAGTGAAATTATCCTGTGAATATGATATTTTTCATTTTTAATCATTAAAGAAATCATATTACAAGTCTTAGATCCTTGAAGCTTTTGGTTGGAAGTCTTAGGAACTGAATTTTTATGTGTTGGTGACTCCAGACGTTTCTCAGCATTAACTGTTAAAATTGATGCTCATAAAATGGTAATGCTTTCATTACAGACTGCAGGAATTCATCCTTTCAATAAATCATATTTGAATAAATACATATTTAGTGCTTGATATGTAGGCGTCTGGAGGTGAAAGTGGAGAGATGCTCATTGAGCTTCACAGTGCAGCCTTCCTTTCTCTAACCCTGAATATATACCTAATACAAAAAAAGGCGGCGGGGGGGTGCTGGAAAAATGCACATTTGTAAGAGCAAGAATATTCCACCATTTGAATGTCAGAAATATCTGTAAAACACAATACCCCCCAATTTATTGTTAAACAGATTTTCTATGAGAAGAAGATAACGAACAAAAACACAGATTATTTTAAAAATAAAGCTGTTTTAAGTTTTCTAAGGAGCCTCCATAGTGTTCTCCATAGAGGTTGTATCAATTTACATTTCCAGCAGTGGAAGAGATTTTCCCTTCTCTTCACACCCTCTCCAGCATTTATAGTTTGTAGGTATTTTTGATGATGACCATTCTGTCCGGTGTGAGGTGATACCTCACTGTAATTTTGATGTGCATTTCTTTAATAATTAGTGATGTTGACCATCTCTTCACGTGCCTCTTGGCTATCTGTTTGCCTTCTTTGGAGAAATGTCTATTTAGATCTTCTCGTTTTTTGACTGGATTGTCTGTTGTTTTGCTATTTAGTTGCATGAGATGTTTGTATATTTTGGAGATTAATCCTTTTTCAGTTGCTTCATTTGCAAGTATTTTCTCCCATTCTGAGGGCTGTCTTTTTGTTTTGTTTATGGTTTACTTTGCTGTGCAGAAGTCATAGAGTCAGTCATTCAGAATAAGTCTTTACTTTGTGGAGAGCACATATGAAGGAGTCCAGAAATATTAGTTGTGTTATTTTTATTTATTATTTCTTTGATCAGTATTATTGCTATCCCTATTTATACAAAAACTGCTCCTTTAAAAGCCTGAAATATAGGAAGAGTCTTGAAGATCATCTTAACTGAGCCATTTTAACGTCCCTACAACTAACTCCTGAAGGAAGAGAGCTGGCCCCTGGAACTCACAGAAAAGTGTTCAAAACCATCCAGGAAGTCTCAAGTCTTTAGAAAGCTTTGTCACTAGAGGCCAGTTTGATTAAGGAGAGTTGTCTTGATGTGTGTGCTCGGAGCCATTGAAAGGGGCCTGCTTAGAGGTGGTGAATATCCCCGACCTCCTGGCCTTGTGTCAGTCTCTGACCATAAATTACTGGTTTGCGCATGGAATTCATACCTAACACAGAAACCAATGGCAGCTTAGAATTTTTCACTTGGTTTCTTGATGATATCTAAGCCAAATATTATAAATATCATGAATTTTATTTTTACCAGTGTCAACTATTAGTATTTTAAGACTTCAACCCATAGTATTTTGTTTAGTTTTTTCATACAAGGATATGTGATAAAAAGTTTTATTTTCTATAATTTCCCAAAGCCAAATGTATGTATTCTTTCAAATACAGATGATTTGAGATGTTTAAACATAAGGTCATCCTTTATAAGTTGATGGATGTTGAAGAGAGAGTAACTTCAGAAAGTCGGGTTGGGGAACGTCTTCCTGAGCATGATCCCTTGAGCCTGTGGTCAGAATGACCTAAAGAGTCCAGTGGATAATGTGCCCATCAGGAGAAAGAGTGTTATAAGCAGAGGAAACAGCAAGCACAGACGCAGGAAAGGGTTTAATGTTTGAGAGGCAAAGAGGACAGTGTTGCCGAGCTTAGTGAAAAGAGATGCACAGTCAAGAGAGAGATGTGCTGGGATGAGGGCAGGTATGAAGCACCTCCCAGCCATAGTCAACAAAATTGATCTCATTTCACACACTGTAAGAAACCACTGGAAGTCTTCAAGGGGAGACATGAGATCTGATATAGTGTTTTAGATTCCGTTGGCTGTGTGTGGAGAATTAGTGGTAGGGAGAGAGGGGATGAGGAACAGAGAGGAGGTTTCAGGGTGATCAGATGCACTGGCAGTGAAGATGGAGAAATGATTGGATTATGGATTCTATTGCAGATAGAGAATTAGGATTTAATTGGACTGTGCTAGTGAGCAATAGGCAGTAGGAGATCAGATCATTTCCAGGGTTTTGTCCTGAGCAACTGGAAGAATTTTCATAAATTTCTTGAGATGGGGTAGAACTAATTTGGAGGGAAAATGGAAAATTCAGTGTTGTTCAAGTTTGAGTTGCCATGAGACATCTGCTCAGACCAGGTAAGGTAACGCTTGGAAGGGGACCACAGGAGATGGTGGAGAGTGGTTGGGGCAGATGTCAGATTTAGAATGAACAGTACACAGCTCAGGATGAGAAGGTCCTCAGACACATTTAGCTCAATTTCTTCCCAAACCCCTTCTTTGAGCTGGGCACTGTCAGTCAACCTATCCTCTCATTGGTGGGACATGCCCCTTTCCTGACTTTTGAAGACTCCTTGCTAAGGAGGTTGACTTGTAGCCTAAGTCATGCAAGAAAGCTTGCTGTATGATCTCTTTATTGGAGAACTTTAGAATCTGATACTTGAGAATCTAAGATCTGATACTTGTGTTTTGTAAGAATGTGTGGTTCAGCAAGGATGCTTCCAAACGGTAATAATAACCAAACTGATCAGGACTTCAGTTTAGTTCAGTTCAGTCGCTCAATCATGTCTGGCTCTTTGCGACTCTGTGGACTGCAGCACACCAGGCTTCCCTGTCCATCACCAACTCCCAGAGCTTACTCAAACTCATGTGCATCGAGCCAGTGATACCATCTAACCATCTCATCCTCTGTCATCCCCTTGTCCTCCCACCTTCAATCTTATGAGTCAGTTGTTTGCATCAGGTGGCCACAGTATTGGAGTTTCAGCTTCAGCATCAGTCCTCCCGATGAGTATTCAGGACTGATTTCCTTTAGGATGGACTGTTTGGATCTCCTTGCAATCCAAGGGACTCTCAAGAGTCTTCTCCAACACCACATTTTTGGGGGCTCCAGAAATCACTGCATATGGTGACTGCAGCCTTGAAATTAAGATACTTGCTCCTAGGAAGAAAAGCTATGACCAACCTAGACAGCATATTAAAAAGCAGAGACATTACTTTGCCAACGAAGGTCCGTCTAGTCAAAGCTATGGTTTTCCAGTAGTCATGTATGGACATGAGAGTTGGACCATAAAGATAGCTGAGCGCTAAAGAATTGATGCTTTTGATCATTACTTGCATCTTTGTTTTCTACTTGGGATGCAGGAGAGAAGTCTCAGGACAGTTCAGGGGCAAGCCACCTCTCTTAGAGCACAGGTTCCGGGATGTTACTGGGCTTTGTCAAGGGGGCATGTGGCTGGGCCTTACTCTGCAAGCATATAAAGCAGTGAATGCCTGACAATGTGATTGCTGTTCCGTCTCTATGGGAACCAGATACTTGAGAAGTAGCTTAGTCACAGTAGCTTAGACTGCTCGATGAGAAGGCCATTCAGTAAAGGGATACAGGATCTGGTTGATATAATGCAAAATTAGGGCATGTTACAGCAATATGTACCAAAAAAACTTTGAGAATGTCTCACCTTCCATGTAATCCTAGCTGTGGGAAGCAGGCCTGCTGGGTGTTATAAGGAAGTGCTGTTTTATAACAAAGGTGATCGGAACAAAAAGAAAGTACTGGGTACAGTTCAGGTTTTAGGGAAGAGAAAAGAAACAGCATATTAAAAGGAAAATGAAGTCTATGGATGTTAATGTAAATTAGGTTGTTGTTCCTAATATCTGTCCTAGCATCTTTTAAAGTTGCTTTCAAACCAAATCGCCTAATTTTACTGAAGAAAACGAGCCTTGCTTTTTTTCGTTGAATGGTCTCTTTAAAGTAGACAAAGTAATAATATAGTTGTTGACATCAAAGCACAGACACCAGATTTATATTTAAAATAAGCATTGTACTGATGTCCCAAGCATGAATCCCTTCTTGGGGGAGGACTTCTCAAGATACCCAGTATCTTGATTGTTTTAATACTTTCTTTTTATTGTTGCTTTAACACCTGTGTCTCATACAGATTTGGGCTAGACTAGGTCTTCAGAGTCTTGAACCTTACTCCTGTTTT